CATGGATCATAAGGTTCCTCTCAGACAGTAAAGTTCTCAGCAGACAATATGGTATTCCTTTGATAATCAAGTTCTCCACATATAGTACTGTGTTCCTCTGATCATAAAGTTCCAGAAAACAATATGGTTCTCCACATACAGTAAGATTTCCACAGGCATCCTCCAAACTCCTCATCAACTTTTACAGATGCACAGTGGAGAGCATCCAAACTCTATCACAGTGTGGTACAGGAACTGCACTGTTCAGGGCAGAACGGTTCTCCAGCGTGTCATTAAAATGGCACAATTTGTCTGTGGAGCAGTGTGTATTTTAGTGGTGTCAGGGCAACTCTCTAAGAATTCATTGCCTGTAACCAAGTTTACGTTTGCTGTGTACATGACAATAACCTCTTGACTCTTGAATGTTTACCTTGTCTTCCTATAATATTATGATAAGGTTTACTGGCATTCCTTTTAGGTTCCTCTGAGGTTCCACTATTGCCTGGTTCCCCTAAACTTCCTCTAGCCCGACAATCTCCAAAGGTTTCCCCAAGGTTTCCTTATGGTTTCCCTGAGTATTCCTGTAAACATGCCTTTATGTCCCTCTAATGTTCCTTTAAGCTTATGCTGAGGTTCCACTAAGGGTCCCTTAAGATATCCAAGGTTTGGTTTCTCAGATGTTTTCCTAATGTTCTCCTCTCCTTCAGGAGGAGAATGAGATCCCCTCCACTGTTTTTGTGAAGGATCCTCCTCCGTTCCCTCGTGATGAGATTTTGGAAGAAGGTGATGAATCGGCAGCGGGCGTCGAAGGCAACCAATCCCAGGAGGGCGGGCTCCATACCATTGACCTATCATCTGATGAGGACGTTGGGTTGGAGGCGGAGTTAGAGGATGAGGAGATGTGGCCTCACGATCTGGAGAACATGGAGAAGTCCAGAGCCGAGAAACTGAAACGTTCCAGTCTGAAGAAGGTAAGAAGGTCCAACTGAAGGTGTTCAGTCAGACAGACGTGCACAGTCAGACAGACAGGTGTAACAGTTTCTCCCTCCGCAGGTTGACAGTCTGAAGAAGGCGTTCTCCAGGCAGAACATTGAGAAGAAGATGACAAAGATCGGAACAAAGATTGTTTCTCAGGAACAACGAGAGAAGATCAAACAGAGAACCTCCAGTCTGAAGGTTTCACCTCTGACCTTCAGCATCAGGAAGGTACTCTTTGTTGTTCTAACACTCCTTTAATCTCAATATTATCAAGCATTCTCAGTTCCTCTTAGGTTCCCCTAACTTTTTCAAGTGCCACTAACATTCCCCAAAGTTTCCTTTAACATTCCACTAGGTTCACCGCAAGTTCTTGTACCATTCCTCCTGTAAGGTTCCCCTTACAGGTACTTGACTTTACCCTAAAGTTCCTCTGGGGTTCTGCTAAGGACCCCCTAACAGTTAGATTAAGGTTCCCCCAGTGTTCCCTTCACATTTTCCTAATATTGCCCTGAGGTTACCCCTAGAATCCCCTTGATTCCCTTAAGATTTCCTTAGATTTCTAAATGTTCCGTGAAGATTGCTCTGACATTTTCTAAAGGTGTCATTAATGTTCTCCAAACTTCCTGTAACATCCCCTTATGTTTACCACTTACTTCTGTAACATTCCTTTAAGGTTTCCCCATGAATTCTCTTAGTAAGTGGCCACTGACATTCCCGCTAAAGTTCCTTCAATGTTCTACTAAGGTTCCTCAACAAAAACTTGCAGGTAATCAGTGTGATCCGCCGTCTTGTTACAACAGTTTACTTGCGTTATGTGTTGTGGAACAATCCCCATTGATGACACCTTGATTTCAATGGTTCTGATCAAATGTGGCGGAACACTGGATGGTTCTAGATAGCAGCAGGGTCCCCAGAGTCTTAAACAGAACTGGTTCAAGAGCCAGAGGTCCTTTGATGGAAAGAGGGTCTGCTAAGATTCTCTTAAGGGTCAAATAAAGTTCTCTAAGGTCCCGTACACATGCTGCGTTTGTTGCTCCCTGAAGTTGGGCTACCCTGGGTTCTCCATCTATCCCACAGACAATATTTAGGTACACATTTAGAACCACGTCTGGAAGAAGATCAGCTCTGAACTTTCTGGTACCTAGGTGATGATAAGGTGTTTATGGTAGAGTAGCAATGTCAGATGCATTTTACCTTCATGACCTTGAAAGTTGGCACAAGTGTAGCACCCAGCACCCGACCTCACGTTCTCCAGGCGGTAAAAGAGGCAACATGTGTCCCGTCCATTAAGTTACTACCAAGTTCCCCTGTTGTTCCACTTCTCTGACCTCTGACTGTCTGTGCTTTCAGCCTCGCAGCAGCTCCGACTCACAGCCCCCCGAGGCTTCCCCTCAGGCGGGGGAGTCTGTCTTCACAGAGGCCGACGTCCAGCTCTCCCCGCTGGACAGCACCAACCAGGAGGTCCCCTTCACCGAGGTCCATGCCCAGCTGGCTCCAGCTGAGCATGAGGAGAAAGAGGAAGAGGAGGAGGTAAAAGAGGAAGAGGAGGAGGTGAAAGAGGAAGAGGAGAAGGAAGGCGAGGAGGTGTCAGGTGTGGAGGCGGATCTGTCGGTGGTTTCGGAGGGAGTCAGTCAGGAGTACACTTTGTCTGCCACCCTGCCTCAGGAGGAGAAAGAGGAGGAGTCCTAAACACTCGGATCTCTAAAGGAACAGTTCGGCCTTTATATAAAAGTGGAACTGTTCCTTTAAAGTTCAGAGCCGTTTAAGTATTTCTGTTATTGATAAAGTTCCACACACACACGTTCCTTCCACATATCTAATCATCTGTGCTGATATTTCATGTCTCTATATGTGAACCTTAGAACCTCGGTTCTCCAACATTTGAACTTTTCAGGAACTAAAAAGCAAAAACATGCTTTCTGTTTTGTAAAGTTTCGAATGAAGTCGGAGAATTTAAACGTTCATTTCTTCAACTGATCTGAAAACCTGAAAAATGAGAACACTTAAATTTGGAGATCCCCGGTTCTTTAGTTGTAGTTTTTTTTTTCTCTTTTTGTTTTTGTTCTAAACAGCTGACTGATAGAAACACTAATAATCTGCTGATCAATAACATTAATGTAAAATTTCCATTGGTGGGACCCAATGAGTTAGAACCTGGCAAGGTTCTCACAAACACACAGAACTCAGGGATCACTAAGGTAAACATGGTGCTGAACAGATCCCTGAATACAAAATGTCCCTCCAGTGTTCCACGAATCATCCCCAAACTGTCTACATTTATACTTGCCTAGTGGTGCCTCATTAGTTCTACCACTGTTTCCTAAACATTCCTCCAAGGTTCCTTAAATGTTGCCCTAACATTTTCCAAAGGATCCTTTATGGTTTCACTGAAGTGCCTCTAAGGTTCTACTGTGTTTGGCAAAAGTTCCCCAACAGTTCCCATAAAGCTTTTGTTGAGTTCTACTTAAGTTTCGCAAACATAGCCGAAAGAGTCCCATAAAGTCCGTCCGAGGTTCCTCAAAGGTTACCTTAAAATTTCCCGAAGGATCCCTTATGGTTACACAAAAGTATTTCTGAGGTTCTGCTATGGTTGGCCAAGGTTCTCCAAGAGTTCCTGTGAAATTTTTATGAGGTTAAGTTCCTTTAATATAGCCGTAAGATTCCCATTAAGTTCCCCAGAGGTTCCTCAAATGTTTCCTTAAAATTTTCATATGGATCCCTTATGTTTACACTAAAGTACCTCTAAGGGTCTAGGATGTTTGGCCAAGGTTTCCCAAGAGTTTCCATAATATTTTTTTTGTGTGGTCTACTTAATTTCCTCTAACATAACCTTAAGAATCTCATAGAGTTCCCCAGAGGTTCCTCAAAGGTTACCTTAAAGTTTTTTTTTTCAAAAGATACCTCTAAGGTTCTACTGTTCTTGGCCCAGGTTCCCCAAGAGTTCCCATAACGTTTGTGTGAGGTTCTACAAAAGTCCCCTTAACATAGCTGTAACATTCCCATAAAGTTCTTCTAAGGTTCCTCAAATGCTGCCTTCAAATTTCCCAAAGGATTCCCTGTGGTTACAGTAAAGCACTTCTAGGGTTCCTCCTTGGTTGGTTCCTCCAGCGTCGTTCTACCCAAGGTCTCACAAAGACTCCCCCGGGGTTCCTACAAGGTTCCTCAAACATTCCACTTGGGTTCCCCTCAAAGGTTCCCTCAAGTTTCCACTGAGGTCCCATCAAGGTTCCCCCAACATTTTCCAAATGTTCTCCTGTCATTCCTGTCTGTTATCTGTTACTGAAGAACTCTGAAATGTTTTGCTTTCCACTGATCAATAAGTTGATCAGTTTCCTGCAGTGTGTGCGTGTGTGTGTGTGTGTTGATATCTACACTGATTAATAACCAGCCTGTTGATTGATTATCTGTTTACTAACGACACAAAGTATTATTAACTGTAACAGTGACAGAACCACTGATCAACAGACCTGATCAAACAGATTGATCCGTTGCATATCGATTGGAAACAGCCACAGAGTTAGAGACCGACTGTTTGTTCTGTTTGTTGTTTTCAGGTTTACAGTCACTGTTGTTCTTTTATTTACCGTTAATGAAACTTCCTGCTGCCAAAGAACATTTCCTGTTTGACTTCCTGTCAGACTGTCAGTCGTCCCCCAGGTGTGCCAGAACCACCTGAACTGTGTAATCAATAAAAACCGTGTAACCGCCGCTCTGTTTCCTGTCTCTGATTTTAACCCAGAACTTAATTAACTTCTTTTGGTCGAACAAAACAAGATGGTTCTCACAGTTTTCTGATATAAACACATATATTTTATAATTTAATCTGAGATGTAATCAATTGACTAATTGATTGACTGATCTGAAGGGATCTGCCAAAGTTAAAGTCCTGAGTTCTCTGTAGAATCAGCTGTTTAATGAATGAGGTTTGATTCAGACTCGGTTGACCTTTGGAGGGGGCGGGGTCAGGGAGTGGGGTGGTCTCCTCAGCAGCCAATGGGATGACTCGAGGCAGGGCTTAGAACCAACATAGCCAATAGAGACAGGCGGGGGCGTGGGTCTGAGACGTCACTCCATAGTCACAGAGTTGGAGCCTGAATTTTCATCCAGACACTGCTTCTGTCTGAAGTACCACAGAGTTCTCCTACAAGGTTCTACTACAGAGTTCTACAACAGAGTTGGACTGGGTTCTTCTTCTGTGGTGCAGATGGACTCAGTAGCGCCCCCCGGCCTCTCTCTGGTCTCTGTCCTGTCTCTGTTAGCATGTAGCATCCAGGTGTTAGCTGCCGTCCTGCTAGCACGCAGGTATGGTGGGCGGAGCTCCGCAGAGGACAGGTGGATCCTGATGTGGCTGTTTTATGATGTCATCGTCCACCTGACACTGGTACGAACAACTGGGACCTGATTTATATTTGTTTATCATTCTTCAGCTTGTCCTGTCCACAGGACGCTGTGGGGGGTTTAGTGAAAACTCTGAGTGTGTTAACTCTGAAATGAGGGAAACTCTGGGTTTTCAGTTCCAGACAGAGAGGTAAGTCAAACTCAGAGTCAATCACCATGGCAACTGACTCTGTGAACCTAACCTGCTCACTCAGAGTAAGTCAACTCAGAGTTCAGGATTAGACTCAGAGTTTGTTGAACCTCCTGGAATACCCCTCTGATTGTTGTTTGTTCTTTATGTTTTTATTGTCCATCTGTCCACAGGAAGGTCCGTTTGTCTACATGTCTCTGGTTGGGACAGTGGAGACGTCTGAAGGTCCTCTGGCTGAACTCTGTGAGTACTCTACTGGAGTACCTCCATTGTTACTACCTTTATACTTGTACTGTACTATACTGTACTTCCAGTGTGTACTCGAGTACTTTTACTACAGTAACTGTAACCGTGTGTCTGTAGGGAAGGAGTACGGTAAAGCTGATGGTCGCTGGCTCATTTCTGATCCGACCATCGTCTCCATCGAAATACTGACCGTCGTCCTCGACTCACTGCTCGCTGTGCTCCTGATACACGCAGTACTGAGGGACAAATACTACAGGTAATACTACGACGTTTTGCCCTTGTTTTGAACATGGGAGGATCCTTTGTGCTTCCTCCCGAACTAGAATGATTCCTCTGTCCTTGTTCTCTAACTAGGACATGTCCTCTGTCCTTGTTCCCTAACTAGGATGCTTCCTCTGTCCTTGTTCTGTTAGTAGGAAGCAACCTTTGTTCTTGTTCTCAAAGTAGGGCGCCTCCTCTGATCTTGTTTCCTAACTGGTGAGCTTCCTCTGTCCATCTTCCATAACTACGACATTTTCTCTGTCCTTGTTTCCTAAATAGGATACTTCCTCTGTTCTTGTATCCTAACTAAGACGCTTCTTTGTTCCCTAAGTAGGACACACCCTCTGTCCTTGTTCCCTAACCAGAATGCCTCCTCTGTAAATAAGAAGCTTCTTGTTCCATAAATAGTGAGCATCCTATTTCCTCGGTCCCTTAGTAAGAAGCTTTCTCTGTCCTTGTTCCCTTACACTTCCCTGAAGGACAGTTACCATAGTAACAGTACCTGCTGTGTGTTTGCAGACACTTCCTGCAGGTGTCTCTGAGCGTGTGCGAGCTGTACGGCTGCTGGATGACGTTCTGTCCTGATTGGCTGGTGGGCAGTCCTCACCTGGACACGTCCTCCTGGATCTACCTGTGGGTCTACCTGGTCTTCTTCAATGGGGTCTGGGTCCTGGTCCCGGTTCTGCTGCTGCTCCAGTCCTGGTTCTCTCTGAGGCAGCTGCACATGCTCAGAGCAGACGGTGGCATCAACAAGAAGACGGCGTAGAGACAACGGACGGTGTTTTAAATGTTATTGGAATGTTATTGATCGACACCTGAGACTGACTGATTGATTGGCTGATTAATTAGAGTCAACACTGTTCACATAGATCACTGATATGAGACTTTAATGATCGGTCCCTACAGTCTGATTATTGATCAGTCGTCACATCCTTACAGCAAACAACAGATAATTATTATAAATAATAAATGTAGAGACATTAATATTTACTAGTTTCCTTCACATCATTTCTCTCTTTATCCACTCTCTCTACGCTCCTCCTCCTCCTCCTCCTCCTCCTCCTCCTCTCAGCTCTTCTTGATGAGTTTGTTGACGGACATGAAGGCCTGTTGGAGGCCGAGTCCTTTCAGAGCGCTGCAGGCCTGAATCTCCCACAGCCGGTCTACGTAACTGGGAAGGTCCAACTGATTGGAGATCTGATGGGGAGGAGGAGGAGGAGGAAGAGGAGGAGGAGGAGGAAGAGGAGGAGGAGGGGGGGCGGGAGGCAGAGAGCAGGAGGGGGGTACAGGGAGGGATGGACAAAAAACAATGATGAGGAGATGAGTTAAAAAGGCTTGAATTCACAACTAGTTAGTGTAGTTCACTAAACAGGACGCTTCCTCTGTCCTTATCCCCTAACTAGGAAGCTTTCTCTGTCCTTGTTTTGTAAATAAGAAGCATCCTCTGTCCTAGTTCCTCAACTAGGAAACTTCCTCTGTCTTTGCTCCCTAACCATGACGTCTTCTCTATCCTTGCTCCCTAATTAGGAAGCTTCCTCTGTCCTTGTTCCTCAACTAGGAAACTTCCTCTGTTTTTGTTCCCTAACCATGACGTCTTCTCTATCCTTGCTCCCTAATTAGGAAGCTTCTTCTGTCCTTGTTCCAAAAATAGTACTTATCCTATGTCCTTTTTCCCTAACCAGGTAGCTTATTTTGCCATTGTTCCCAAACTAGAACACTTCCCCTGGGACGCCTCCTCTGATCTTGTTCCCTAATTAGGAAGCTCCCTCTGTCCTTGTTTCCTAACTAGGATACTTCCTCTTTCCTTGTTCCCTAACGAGGAAGCTTCCTCTGTCCTTGGTCCCTAACTAGGAGGCATCCTCTGTCCTTGGTCCCTACTTAAGAAGTTTTTTCTGTTCTTGTTCTGTAACTAGGACACTTCCTCTGTCCTTTTTCCCTAACTAGGATGCTTCCTCTGTCCTTGGTCCCTAACTAGGATGCTTCCTCTGTCCTTGGTCCCTACTTAAGAAGTTTTTTCTGTTCTTGTTCTGTAACTAGGATGCTTCCTGTGTCCTTGGTCCCTAAATAGGACGCTTCCTCTGTCCTTGGTCCCTAACTAGGATGCTCCCTCTGTCCTTGTTCCCTAACGAAGAAGCTTCCTCTGTCCTTGGTCCCTAACTAGGACGCTTCCTCTGTCCTTGGTCCCTAACTAGGACGCTTCCTCTGTCCTTGGTCCCCAACTAGGAAACTTCCTCTGTCTTTGCTCCCTAACCATAATGTCTTGTCTATCCTTGCTCCCTAATTAGGAAGCTCCCTCTGTCCTTGTTCCAAAAATAGTACTTATCCTATGTCCTTTTTCCCTAACCAGGTAGCTTATTTTGTCATTGTTCCCAAACTAGAACACTTCCCCTGGGACGCCTCCTCTGATCTTGTTCCCTAATTAGGAAGCTCCCTCTGTCCGTGTTTCCTAACTAGGGTGCTTCCTCTTTCCTTGTTCCCTAATGAGGAAGCTTCCTCTTTCCTTGTTCTGTAACTAGGACACTTCTTCTATCCATGGTCCCTAAATAGGAAGCTTCTTCTATCCTTGGTCCCTAACTAGGACACTTCCTCTGTCCTTGGTCCCCAACTAGGATGCTTCCTCTATCCTTGGTCCCTAACTAGGATGCTTCCTCTGTCCTTGGACCCTAACTAGGACACTTCCTCTGTCATTGGTCCATAACTAGGACACTTCCTCTGTCATTGGTCCATAACTAGGTGGCTTCCTCTGTCCTTTTTCCCTAACTAGGAAGCTTCCTCTGTCCTTGTTCTATAACTAGAACACTTCCTCTGTCCTTGGTCCCTAACTAGGACGCTTCCTCTGTCCTTGGTCCATAACTAGGAGGCTTTCTCTGTCCTTGTTCTGTAACTAGGATGCTACCTCTGACCTCGTTCCCTAATTAGGAAGCCTCTGTCCTTGTTTTGTAAATAAGAAGCATCCTATGTTCTTGTTCACTAACTAGAAAGCTTGTGGTTGAGGTTGAGGTTGTGGTTGTGGTTGTGGTTGTGGTTGTGGTTGAGGTTGAGGTTGAGGTTGTGGTTGTGGTTGAGGTTGAGGTTGAGGTTGTGGTTGTGGTTGTGGTTGAGGTTGAGGTTGAGGTTGTGGTTGAGGTTGAGGTTGAGGTTGTGGTTGTGGTTGTGGTTGAGGTTGAGGTTGTGGTTGTGGTTG